AACAACCACTTACTGACTGCCTGCCATGCAACAGATAAGTATCAGCCATGAGGAGTTCATGGCAACTACCTTAATTGATTGGTAACTGGTAATTAGGAGCCTGGTGCTAATCATCATCTTCATCTTCACAGGCTCATCTTAGTCTCAGAGCAGCAGGCTCAGGGGGATAGTTAGGCCCAGTTTGCAGATGAGGAAACTGAGATTCAACCTCAAGTCCATCWGGCTTCAGAGCCTCTGCCTTCCACCTGCAAGCCTGAGGCTGAACATTAGGAAAGGCACAGAGTGCTATCCCAAACCTCTGGGCTCCACAGCACAGTGAGGACACAGAAATACAAACAAGGCAGGGACGGATCAAGGGCAATGGAGCCAGGAACGAGTGTTGTGGTTCCCTGAGGAAGGAGAACTGGAGCGTCAYGGAGGGCTCTCAGTGCAGGAATTGAAGGGTGCTGAGAAATGAGCCGAAAAACAAAGCCTGAGTGCAGGAGGGGAGGGAGTAAGGGAGSTTCTAGGAAGAAGATGCAGGGTGAGGAAGAGAGACCAGGAGAGGAAAAGGCAGGACCAGCTCCCCAGGCCCCTGACAGGGGGCGGAGTTCAGGCTTCATCCTGGAAACTGCAGCCCAGGATGAATTCACCTCTAGCAAGGGACGTGCTGGGCTTTCTGTGCTGGTTCACGGAGCCACACGGTTACTCAGCTGCCAGCTTTGCAAAGCCAGGGATGGCACAGGACAGTTCACATCGCTGACTTTTTAGAAAAATTCGAGGGCCTGCCACAGGCTCTGGCACTGTTCCAAGGGCACTGTCACTGCCTCAGTCCCACTGTCCCACGTGTCCATGAGCCCTGTCACTGTCATTCACAATTACTTACCAGGCCAGTGGTCGCGACCACTTTGTACGCAGAATGAGACTTCGTAAAAAGTTGGAGGACATAAGAGTCAACGTGTTTRGAAACATCCGTCTGCTCCTCCTTGGGACGGAGGATGGTAGAAGGGAGACCACCCCTCCACCCTACAGTTCACCTGTTAACACCTGCAGCATTGTGCAGGCTCTGCGGATCCCCAGGAATGAACAAGGCCAATGCAATCTGGTAAGGAAGCAGCTTTCTAGAGATAGGAAACATCAACATGGGATGACAAATTGTGCCTCCTGCCACTAAGGATGTGGCAGAGCAGTGGCACGGTCACCGGGAGGTTCCAAGATGGACGGCCGGAGGAGGCTCCTCCAGGGAGACGCAGGAGCTGAGCCTGGAGGACTGAGAAGGCAGCTCCCTGGATCTGGGCGAGACTGTCCAGGMGGAGGGGACGGCTTGGGCAATGGGCCAGAGCAGGAGGGTCTTGGGTCATGGGAGGACTTCAGCGAGCAGCTTGCAGGGATGGATGGGAGGAGAGAGAGCAAGCAGATGTGGCTAGAGGTCATAGAACAGTCACTGCAAGCCAAAACCACCAGAGAGTGGAGTGTTCTTCTCCAAGCAAAGGGAAGGCAGGAAAGGGACAGGGACTAAAGCCACCGAGGTGACCTTATTCAACAGCTCGTGCTGGCTGCTCCAAGCAGAGTAGGTCAGAGAGGGGCTTGTGCAGCGTTTCAGGCAAGAACTGAGGAAATGGGAAGAAGCTCCCAGATCTAGAAGCCAGCACGTGGGCCTCAGTGGACAGGGTACAGTGTGTCTGGGGAGTGGGAAAAGGAATCGTCAGGGATGTACGAGTGTCCAGCTCAGATGAATGGCTGAATCTGGAGCCTGCTCTGGGCTGGACTGTGTACTCCTAAATTCATATGCTGAAACCCCAACCTCCAGTACCCCAGAACACAGATGCACTTGGTTATTAATGAGGTCATTAGGCTAAAACAAGGTCATTAGTGTCAGCCTGAATCCAGTATGGTCAGTGTCCTTAGGGAGTAGATTAGGATACCAACAAGTGGAAGGGAGCCCCCGTGAAGACCAGGAGGATTTGGTCATCTGCATGGCAAGGACATGCCAGTCCTACAGAAGCCTTCATCTTGGACTCCAGCCTCTAAAACTGAAGAAAACGAGCATCTGTTGCTTAAGCCACCGGTCTGTGGTACTTTGTGATGGCAGCCACAGGACACTAACACAGTCCACCCAAGACAGGCAGCGGGACAGGGAAATGACAGGCAGGCATGACACTCCCGAGCCTGACAGAGCATGAGGCTCTCAGAGACAAAGCCAGACCTGCTGTGGTCCGAGCGAAGGCCCCGATCTGGGATTGGACTACAGGTGGCTCTGATGTGGTGGGGGTGGAGGGGACCTGGCAGTCACATCAATCAATTGGCTGAATCGGGAGCAATCAATCGGCTAAAAGCTCAGAGCATAAAAGCATCATTTAAAAAGGCTTTAAAACTACAACAGGAAATAGGAGCATTCTTGGACACGGCGGAGATATGGGTGTTGTTTACTTAGCTGGTTTGGGTTTCTTTGTTTTTGTCTTATTTATGAGTGAAGCAATGTGAGCATTTTTCTAAAATAATGACAGTCAATGTTGGAGAGGAATAAAGGAGAGGTTATGGTAAAAAAGAAAGGATGATGAATAGAAAAGAGGGAGGGAGGGAGGGAAGGAAAGAAGGAAGGAAGGAACTCTAGAGCACAGCGGAAAGAATCAGCTGTGGACAAAAGTGACAATACAGGGCATGTTTGCAGGGTTCCTAAGGGGACACCTCTGAGACCTAGCATTTCTCTGGGAAATAAGAGGTGAAAGGCACCTGCTGAGATTCAGAGTAGGGGAGGGCTGGAGTGGGAAGTAGAAKGGGGTAGAGTGGGGACTGGGGACTGTGACCACTGCAGAGTCACCCTGAGGGCCTGTGCAGAGGGCAGAGGCTACACTACATCCCATCGCTCCTCCCCTCAGCAGGGCGGCTTTCTCCAGCAGGCCTGAGTCAGAGATGGGAAGCCAAGACAGGCGGTGGGGGGTGGTGGTGGGGGGAGTGGTGGGTGGTGGTGGGGGGTGTTTTCCCTGGGGCTGGGTCTGCAGGGAGCAGGCAGGGGAGATTGGAAGTGGAAGATCTAAGGAGAAAGGACCTGGGATGAGCATATCCAGTAAAGGGCAGATGGCTTGCAAAGTCACTTGGTTCCAAGTCACTTGGTGAGAATAAGTTTTCTTAGGCCCAGCAGAGCAGGAGCAGAGCTACAGGGAGCCAACCGCCAGAGTCCATCTTGGGTGGAAGATGGGTCGTCGGAAGCCAGAGCAACCAGCAGAGGAAACAGCATCACAGGGTTCAGTAAAGGACAATGTGACCCCCAGAACACAAGATGGCACCTCACATGCAAGACCTGAGAGCCCTCAGGCCTGGCTCGCACTCTCTGCCTGATTGAGGGTCTCCCATGGAGGCCAGATGGGTGTCCTCTTCTGAGAAATGTAGGTGATTCAATGTCATGTGAGCTCTGCTGACACCATGGACTGGGTGGAAGGTCCACCATATTTACCTTCAAATTATTTTCAATTTCTGGAATTACCAGATATATGAGTGGCAGTCCATGGGAGGAATCTAAAACATTAATCTCTCCATGCAGCAAATAATGTGTTATGCCCACCACAACCATGCCAAGCACAGAGGGGGCTCTTTTCCTACCTGCATGACATCACCCAATTCCCAAATGGAGAGGATTCCAGCCGGAAGGTAAGGGACTCTCACCACCTGACTGCCTGTCAGTTGTGTTTCAGGGTCTCACGGAAGRAGGGAGCCGTGTTTCTAACTCCCACTGCGGCCTGATGTTCTTAAGGCATCACTTTTGGGGAGAGAGACATGGTGCTTCCAGTTCCACTTTGTTGATTTTCATCAATGCTAATCACAAGCCTTTGTGGTGGCAGGCAGAGGTCTTGTTTGATTTTTCAACTGGTCCCTTTGCTTGTTATAAAAAATCAACAATAAATAGAACAACTTAAAGTCACACAGATGGAATTCCAGGGCCCCAAAGAGACTGCCCATCAAGTGTTGTTTTCAGTCAAAAACAATTCAACAAAGATTCTGTTAATGGGAGAAATCCAGTTATGGCTTCAGTTTGGGAGAACAATCCACGTTGCCATTTGGAAGCAATACTGCCATTCAGCTACCGTGGGAACTTAACGATGAGGACATTCTTTTTTCTACAAGGGGGTACTTAGAGGCAAACAGCGATGCTTAAGTTGATTATATAATTTGGCAAAATACTTTGTATGTGTATCTACACACACACACATCAAGATAAATATGCACATTGATAGCCAAACCAGTACTTTTATCCAAGGGATATTTGAAAATTTATAATTTTTTTTTTTTTGTCATTACAATTGAGTGGAGGGCCGTGCACTAGCCACTGGCAGGTACAGTCAGRATGCTGCTGAACACCCTACAGCAAGGAGAATGCCTTTTCCAAAGCAAAGAATGACCATCCCCCACAGCAGTGTTGCTGGGGGTGAGAAATTCTTGTCTACACAATTCCCTTGTCCTGGGCAAAAGGGCATCCAACCTTCCTATAGCTGGGAACTTCAAATTAGTGAATATCACACTGGCAAACTCAGGACTGCATCTTTCTGGAAACTACCACATAAATGCTGAGTGACACATGGTACCCACACTGCCTTTGTGAGTGTGTGTGTGTGTGTGTGTGTGTGTGTGAGGTCACACTCATGCATGTGCAGAGCACAGGATTTCAGGTAGCACCTATCAGGACCCACAGCCAGCCTTGGATTGGATGGTCAGCACCCTCTTCTGACTTTGTCATGAGCAGGCAGACAACAGATCAGGAAAAAGCAGCTGAACTTTGATGACTGGTCAAATAACATAAGCCCTCTTATTATGGTCTAGCGGGTAAAGAACATCATTGATCTTTCTATTTACTAAAGAGTCACATGATGCTCTTCCAATCCTTAGTAAATGCATTACATTTAGATTTCTTTACAAAATGAAGAATTTGATTTTCTTTGGAAAGCCTGACAGTTCATTTTCAAGCATCAAATAACACAGTGTCACACACAAATGAGAGGGGGCACTGGAGTGACTGTGCGGCTTACCGTTCAGCCATTTGGAGTTGTACTGAGCCGTGCGGAGAGGCGGCAAAATCCCCAAGCTTCGGTAAATGGCGGGATCACGCCCTGGGAAATCCATGGCCGTTGCAGCATAGAGCTCCCCACCAGCCGTGAGCAGAGCCGTGGAGTTGTGCTGGGGACTGTATGGACAGCGGGCCATGCCACTGATCTGGTCATGGATCTCGGTCAGGTTACTCAACTGTTGTGAAGACAAGGGCGACAGCAGTTAGACTCCAAGAACCCTTAAAAGGTGCTGGTGGACCCCGTCTCTGCAGTTCTGAGTAAAGAGTGTGCAATAAACTCTCTGGGATCCTAGGAGATGACAAACTTTCACACTCCAACTTCATGAAGTCAGCCCGCTGTGGTCGGGACTGGAGAACCTATCATTCACTGTCTGTCTGCTTCCTTTAGAGCCACTGCACCTCATGCTACTGAATACCCACAACATGTGAAGTGAGATTATTGTATTTATGGTTCTGATTTATAATACATGAGTGCTGCTTATTTTCCACTTTGATGAAGAACCCCACTTCAATATCGGTAGATATATAAATCACAATAAAGGATTATATACAATTTGTTCAATAGAAACTGTGGATAAAAAGATTGCAAGTAGCCCTAAATAATGTGTTCTTGGCAATGACAGGAGGTGTGTGGACCATGTATGCGCATCCCTGTAATATATTTTCCTCTCAGTTGAGAGCCACAGGGGTGTCCTGGTATCATCTTGCTGAGTACAGCTTCCCACATGCAGGATTCCGGACAGTCACTGAATGAGAGGAGCTCCTTGGAGGTTGGGGGATCTGGCAAGAATCAATCTGGGTCCTAACTCTTAACTGAGAGTGAACAGTGCAGAGGGCTCCAGCGGAGGTGCAGGCACGCGGCTTGTCGACTGCTGGGCATCTGGCCCTGYGGAAGTTACTCAGACTCTCAGACTCTTTCATAAAACAGGCCCACGAAGAGGAGCCAGCTCACGGGGTAGACATCGAGGACTGAGACACCGCTGACGTCAAGCACTGAAGTGTGTGCAGAGCCTGGGAGCTCTCTGGAACATGGTCTCCTAGGGTCCGCCTCCTCCCATAATTCCCAATAACTGATCGTTAAGTTTTTTATTTATTTATTTGTTTATTTTAGTTGTAGATGGACACAATACCTTTATTTTGTGTATTATTTTTATGTGGTGCTGAGGATCAAACCCTGTGCCTCACACCTGCAAGGCAAGCGCTCTACCACTGAGCCACAACCCCAGTCCCTGGTCATTAGGTTTTAAAGAAGGAACAGTAGAAACATGATGAATTAAGGTTGGGAGAGAAGTTGCCCTACCAGAGATTGACATAGTGGCATTTCCTCATTATATACCCTAAGAAAAATTAAATTAATACTCTGATAAAGAAGATCTCAGGCATGCGTGCTGACACTGCCATGCTCCTGCAATGGGACGTGCCTACTGAAGATCCCAGTCTGGAACAACAGGCTCAGAGAGAGGATCAGTTACACATTTACTTCACCCTTCTTCATAGTTGTTTGCTCTCTCTCTCTCTCTCTCTCTCTCTCTCTCTCTCTCTCGGTTTTACATGGTTTTAATCCAATTTATAGATTATATTTTCTTCCTCTGGATTCTGATTTTGATACTTAAACAATATCTCTTAGATAAGAAAATAAAAAGAATATGCTTCAGATTAATGTTTAGGGTCACTGGTAGGGAAAATGCTGATTGAAATAGTTTAAAGGACCAATAACTATTTATTTCCTTGTATTATTGGCATTTTCAATTAGAAATAAATCAACAAATTAGATATTTATTTTATCAAAGTTATTTTTAAATTAAAGAGAACCCCTTTGCCGTATAGAAATGCACTTAAAGCCTGAGTCTGGACAATCTTCAAAGCTAAGTTCTGGCGACTTCCATGCAGCCTACCGAGCGGTTGGTGCACACAGGTGTGAAGGCATTTGTTCCACAGGTGAAGAGCCGGTCGCCACCCACCAAAAGCACCCGGATGTAGTTCTGACACTCCTCCTGGAAAAGAAAAGCCAACAGACGATTGACAAGGCCTCTAAGGAAGAGGAAGAGAAGCATGAGTGCATTTTTTTGTCTGGCTAGTAAAAAAATAAATAAGCCTCTGAGATATTGACCAAAAGTGACAAAAAATGTTAATCTGGCTTTCCATATCTACAGCAGAAAATATTCATAATGATACAAGAATGTTCAATTAAATTCTCAAAGTCTGCATCTTCTTTTGATCATCATGGGTTCATTTTGAATTGTAGTGCAAACTTTATATTTTCCTGGGCATGTATTAGGAAAGTAAATAAAAGGAATCTATTAGATGCTTCTCGTGGAAAACCTCCCTGGCACTTCATAAAAACCTTGTAAATGCTTCTTCACTAGGAAGGTTGTATGTAAAACTGTCAAGAACTGGAACAAGTTTTTCTTGAGAGGCTCGAATTGTATTAAATGCACAGGAAATATCTATTGACTCTTATTAACTCACTGATTGGCAAGCAAAAATATCACAAATAAAGAAGGGTCCCCCCATGCTGGGGAAAATCTAGAGACGGGTTATTTTTTGTGGTAGGGCCATAGCAGTGACGGCTGTGTGTGCACACACAGCTCTTCAGTCATTCATTGGCTACTGTCCAGCAGGCACAGAGCTAGAAGTCACAGCGAAGGCTGCAAAATCAGAAGGGTTATAACTTTGTCTATACAGCTGGCCACATGCTATAATGAGGCTGCACAGAGGAACATCCTGTTACTCAGTTCCAAAGGGGAAAGGAAGAATGGAGGGGTGGGACGGCTTCCTGAGGAGTTGACCCCTCTGATGCGTTTTAAAGGAAGAAGGAGATTTTGTGAGGCTTCCTGGAGGAGGTGCTTAAAGGGTACATGCCAGCCTTTAGGGGACTGCACTGGGCTGAGGCTTGGTGGTGAGGGAAAGCACAGTGACTTCATTGGAACAGAAAAAGCAGTGCATGTGCTGGGGGAGAGACCTGGGCTAGCCTAGTGAGTGAGCATTTTGCCCTGACACTGAAAGACCCATTAAATGCTGTTAGTGAGTGACATTTTGAATTGAGCTCATGCTTCCCATTAGAGGACACTGAGATTCAACGTGGAAGATAAGATAGACATGGGGAGGATGAAGCAAAGGGGTGTGTAGGGAGCCCCTTCATAATTCCCGCTCTGTCACTTCATGCCTGGACCAAGGTGTCAGATGTGATAGGACAATGCCAGAACCTGGCAAATCAGCAGGACATAGAGATAGGGCACAGGTGACACCCCATGGTGTCCTGACAATCGAATCACRTACTGTGTGAACTCAGGACAGTGCAGATCCTGTGGCAGAGCAGTCCTCCCTCAGCCCAAGGGAAGCCCCATCTCAAATATGATACTGATCTGCAGAACCCACAGCCTGCCTCTGACAAGGAAAAGCACCCAGATACTGAATCTGCTTTTGAGCATGTATTGAAATACCATTACTGACAAGGGTGACAACAAATCATCACTGGTTGATAAACTGAGAAATAAAAAGAAACAACAAACAAACAAAAAGAAACCCCAGAAAGATCTCAGTTAACTTCAAAGGAGTAAGGAGTAAATAGAGACAGTCGAGTGGGCGACTGGGAAGTTGAGGCAGCCTGAGAAGCATGTTGTTCTCTGGCATTCTTATACTGGGGAAGGGGCAGCAGAGTCCCAAAGGCAAAGAGCCAACACAGGTATCCGAGAGTCCCTTCCCAGGCTGGGAACAGGAAGGACGTGGCAGAGATGCCCGGGAGTTTCTGCAAGCATGACATCCAGTGAGAATTAAAACAGGAAATGTGCCTGCCCCAGGGCCTGTGATGGGTGACATCTTCCAGAGCACAGGCAAGTATGCCTAAGGGCCATCATGGGTGACAGACAAGATAATGACGCCATGGTAGAGAGCAGGATGGAAAATCACCAAAAGTGCAGAGGGCTGGGGATTTTGTTTGTTTTTTTTGTTGCTGCTTTTAGAGCTGTTTTAACAACAAGATGAGATGGAAAGGAACATTTCTTTTTTTAAAGCAAGAGCCTCCGTTGGGTACAAATGTACCAGGAGCAGCCAGATAAGCAGGGACAACACAGTCACGGATGAATTATTCCAAGAGGGTCATGCAGACTGAAGAGATACGGAGTTCTACAGGCCCGGTGGAAAAAGCAAGGGCCTCTAGTTGATTTTGGAAAGGGGAACAATCCAGATAGAAAATGAGGGGGAGGGGGATGTGCTTATCTCAATCTCACTCAAGAAAAACAAAGAGCAAATGAGATTGTAGGTTGCAACATTCCCGATGGCCCATGAGAAGCCTGAAGAAGAACTGGAAAGTAGGTCAGTCGTGTGACAATCAGGATGCAGCAGCATGTGTGCCAGAGAGGCCGGTTGGACAAAAGGGGCAGTCTAAAATCTCAGAGGACACAGGGGATGAGAGAGGATGCAGAACTGTTGCAGTGAGAGCAGAGGACAGGAGAATGCACTGGGCTGCTCCCTCTGATGGGCTTCTCTGTGCTGCAGGCAGGGAGGGAAGGAGGAGGTCAATGTCCGGGATCAGGGCAGCCAGACAAGGTGGCCAGTGCAGAATCTTTCTGAAGGGATGGAGGACAGACCCAGCCTGTGGAACCTGGAGACACCTATAACGATGTGGGACCTGCTGAGGGTCCTGAGACACTGTTCTAGTTGGGCCTGGTCACAGTGAGCTCCAATGGCACATGTTGCAGAAGGAAGAGTCCAGGTCAAGGTGTGCTCACTCAGGTCCCTGAGGAGCAACCTGTGAAGGCCAGCAGAGGCTTCACCTCTGCTTTGTCATCAAGACATGAGGCTCAGCCAGGCTCAGGTTCTCCCTGAAATCTAAACAAGTACACACACTTAAAGCAATAATTTCTTATAAAGAGAGGTAGGGGCAAGTACAAGCAGAACAACGCAAAAATGGAAAAGGAAGAAAGCAGAGGTACTCAGCTTCTGAGCACAGTCACATTTAGGAATGAGAGGAAATGGCATAGAGTGCAGGCTTCGCAAGACCGAGCCTACTCCTGCAGGCAGTTCTAAGACACAGATAATCCGGTGGAAGACGTACCAGCAGATCTCTCTATTAATCCCTGCTCCCGACTCGGCCTTCTCTTGGGCTATGGGAACTTGCTTGGAGCAGTGTTTGGAATCACCACTTTCAACTACAGGCACCATCTGTGCAGAAGTCCCTGGGGACTCTTTTAAAGGTTTCTCTTATAAATCAGCATAGTTAAATGCCTATGCTTTTCCTTTTCTCATCTAAGAATTCTTTGGTTTATTCAGCTTCTCTACCTTAAAAATGGGTTAAGAGGATTTAATGAATTCTGCTTCTCCAGGATGTGCTAGTGCACATCTCCCCGGCCACAGCAGCCTGCTGCTACRTGGCTTCTGGTTGACACTGAGTGCTGCCAATGGACATTTGGATAATAACACTTGAATATTAAAGGGACCCTTTGTGATCCACCTGTCCTTGACTCCCAGCAAGTCCTTTGAGACTAGATAGCCCAGATGCAAGGTCACTGACTCAGACGGGGCTTTCCAGAGGGATGGGTAATGCCCACTTGGTTTCAAGGACATGGGTCCTACACCCAGACCCTGGAGAGAAAGCACATTTTAGGGCTAATTTCTTAATGAGTGAATTGGTGATTTTTTTTTCCCTTCAACAGGTCTGTTTTGCTTTAAAAACAAACAAACAAACAAAAAAACCTACCTAACTGTGTAAACAAAAGACCTGCAAAAAGAGCAGACCCCTTGGTGTCACCTGAGAAGCCCGCAGCTCATCACAACCTATGGATTCCAGGGAGGAGGGGTTGGGTTGGAAGCCTTCTGGCCTGAGGCCAACTGGGGCATTCCTGGTGACAGTACTGGCTTTCTCTTGATGCATTACCTCTGTGAGCACCCAGAGTGCTAAAGAGCAGACATTTATAGTAATAGCAGGAACCTTTGAAAAGGGGAATATACACTGACCAAAGTCATGATTACCAGATGACTCAAAAAAAGAAAGAAACACMTAGTGTCCAATCAGATGTGTGTGTGTGTGTGTGTGAAACATGCATATATGTACATACATGCTATAGATGCAATATATAGTACTCCTAGGTATCCATGGGGATTGGTTCCAGGAACCCTAAAGCTACCAAGATCTCAAGTCCCTCATAAAAAAGAGGTAGAATTTCTGTATGAACTCTGTACATCCTCCCAATTTGAATTGGGAGTTTGAATTATCTCTAGATGAGTTATAACACCCAATACGATGCAAACGATATGCAAATAGTTGCTGTATTGTTTAGGAAGTCATAAATGGAAAAAAAAAATCTGTGCATGTTCAGTACAGATGTGACCAYTGTGGTCCTCACTCCACAGCACATGATCCTGATTGGTGGAACCCAAGGATGAGGAGGCTGTGACTGTACATATAAAGAGAAAGAGGAATACATAAGCACACACCTGTGTATAATTGTCTATTATATGCTACATGATGTATAGTGGCTTAATATATTAAAATATACTGTGTATATTCTCAACTGCACTGACTCTGTAGGATACTTAAACACCTTGATAACAAAATTWAAAAAAAAWTGGTTTGCATAATCTTAACATGATGTTAGTATTTTACCTAAAACACACTCTATTTTCAAAGTGATTTAAAAGAACAGAGGTAGTTCTATAGTGTGTCACACACACTGTTTACAGCTTTCATAAATATTTAGGCTTCGGATGAAAATGTCAACCACCAAGTTGTTAGGCAGGGGGTGTCATGCCTTTCTTCTCCTCATCCCTAGGAGTTTACCTCTTTACCAGATGATTTGGCAACTCAAGAAGTAAGAGCAAGGGATACAGCAGGAAGAACAATTCAGAGAACCCTGGATTTTAATCAAAATGCTCCCACTAACTAGCAAAACAATCCTAGGAACTTAGTGTCAAAAATCCAGAGATGGGATCATAAATAAGAGCCCTTTGAGAACTACAAAGTGTAACATCAGCATAAAGCAGCTCTTTCAGTCCCTCAATGGTCAGTTGTGTTTTCTTTGTCAAGTTCCTAAATGTCAGGGTGGGAGGAGCTCCCGTCGAGACACTAGAACCCCACACAGACAAGGAACTCTTGTTAGATGATACAACTGACTATTTGTCTTTAAACTAACATTTATGTGAAATACATTTAAATAGTTCTAGAATGGGATTTCTATAATGCTACTTCAGAAAGAACTAAATGCAACACATTTCATTATAATATGTCTTGAATCCATAAAGACAGATTCTTTTCTGCTTTATGGTTAAGCCATTGCAGCTGCAGAGAGCAGAACATATTCTAAGGAAATCAGAAGTAGAACCTTGCAAAGAACTAAGCATCTCAGTACCACCTTCTGGCTTAGTCCTGCCCAAATTAAAAGCTATGGATAACTTTTCTTGACCGGATTCTCTAAATTGTAAATTTAATGCACTACAYGTGAAATGATGTGTGTTCTTAGCCTCAGCAACACCAGAAAAATAARAAACAAGTTGTCCTCTGCAGCTTATGGAGGAATGCTCTCATCAGAAGAGCAAGTGGGCAGGGGCAGCACATCCCTGCCACCCCTCTACCTCCTTCCACGCACTGCATTCTGACCACTTGGCAGTAAGATGTGTTATGCGAGCAGCACAGGCTGCTTTGGGGGGAGGGGGTGGTAGGAAAAAAAATGAGTTCAGTTAAAATGACTGGCATTTTTCTCATTTTTGAGATGTCACATTTTGCATTGTTCTTTTTATTCCAGGGAGAAGAGAAACATTGTAATTCTGTTTAAGTTCTCAGAATACTCTAGTATAAGCACAAACATAAAACAGTTGAATTCTCCTTCTAAACTCATGATCACTAAGAAAAGCCTGAATTCCACTTCTCCAAAGAGACATTACATTTCCATCAAGCTGYGAAAACATTATCTGAGTTGGTTCCAGTGCCTGGCGTGGTTTCTCCTGTCCCTAGGGACCAGCTTGCTCCTCTCCTTCCTGTGTCCCTGGAGTTGTGCCTGGGTCATTCTGTAGATGGCAATCATGTCAATGACCATTTTAAGAAAGCAAGACAGATATGAAGGGGACTTGCCCAGGAGATGGAGGACCCTCTGCCCTTATTCCCCATGGGCCAGGCTGCAGCGGCTCAAAACCTCCACGAAGCCACCACCTCATGTTGTACACGGGAACTCCTACTGCACACAGTCCTGCTGTGCAAACYGAATGCTATTTCAGAGGAGCAGGGGGTATTTAAAACTCTAGGTGAATTTATCAACGTACTGAACGCAACCTGAAAGAAAACGTGATTTATCTTTCTCAAAGCACATGGGACTTAAAATTCATCTTYGTTTGCTTTAACACATTAGTCTTAACAAATTCAACCCACAGAGTTTGGATCAATTTATAATTAATAAGACTTGCTATTATACTTAACCCACAAATCCAAAAAACATGAAGCATAAAGGTATGGCTTCATTTGACATCATGTGTTTTCCTCAATTTGTTTCTCCGTATCAGAAAAGCTCAGTGAGGTGTGGGAACATCTGGTCCCTTCAGTGAAGCTGAGTGAGAGAGCCTTTTCCTATCCCATGGATCTTACTTGCTTCTTTTC